CTGCAAAATTGTCAGCAGGTTATAATTATCGCCCGATCCTCACGCACATTTGAATGGGGGTTACCGGTCATTGCAAAAGCCAAGCAGTTTTGGATGGCCATCCAAAAATATTCAATGTGCGAAATAGTTTGCCAACTTTTGTAGACAAAATACGAAAATGTCCATTCCAGTTTTTGGAGAATTCACAAATACAGGAAAGACGCACTTCTGACTATTTCGTTAACGCTGATTTCGTTGAAGAATATAGTCAAATGTCTGTATCTCATATAGATGCGTTTCAGTCAAAAACCAATAATAAATGTTAATCTTTTGCCACTTCTGAGAGATTATAGGTCTTTGGGAAATATTGGTTCCAGATCTAGGAAGACCATTTAAATTAGTTTAAGTTGCCATTATTCGAAAATTAGAGAACGAAACCTGATGGTTTTCTTTTATTTATTGTTTGTCACAATATCTTGTGGAATTCTTTCGATTATCTCGCCTATATAAACTGTATCGTTTATTATAGTGTTGTAGGGTATTCAACGGTCGGCCCCGCTCGACTGTAGCCTTTGCTTACTTGTTTTTAATAATTTTAGTATTAAAACATAATAAGATATTTATAAAAAGCATAATATCACCTTTTTAACATGGTTTTTTGAAAGACAGATCTACAACTTCTAATATTTTACAATTTGTGTGCAATGTTCACGGATTTATAAATAAACAACAAACTGATGCTATTTATACAGACTTCAGTAAAGCCTTTGATACCGTAGTGCATAAGCTATTGCTATATAAACTCGATACTATGGGTTTTCCGACTGCTCTATTAGGCTGGATTTCATCATACTTGGAGGGTCGTACCCAAAAAGTTATTTTCAATGATTCGTTTTCCAAAAATGTTGTTGTTTCTTCTGGCGTACCTCAAGGTAGTCCTTTGGGTCCTTTACTTTTTGTTCTGCATCTTAATGATCTCCCGGATCACATTCGATTCTCTAAAATACTAATGTATGCTGATGATGTCAAGCTTCACATGCATATAAATTCCCTTAACGATTCGACTTTCTTACAATACGATTTACATTCCCTTATAAACTGGTGCAGTGCCAACGGTATGTCCCTTAATTTTAAGAAATGCAAAAAATTTTCCTTGTTTAGATCTCAGCCAATACATTCTAACTACTTTATCGATTCATACAAATTACAAAATGTTGATTCCTTTATTGACCTTAGATCCTAAACTACCTTTTCATTTACACATTGACTTATGTGTTAATAAAGCCAAGTCTTTATTAGGTTTCATAAAACGCAGGTCTAAAGAGTTCGATGATCCATATGTCACCAAAAATTGTTTGTAAGCTTAGTTCGTCCAATATTAGAGCACGGATGTATTCTGTAGAGTCCTTTTTATAAATGCTATTCGGATAAAATCGAATCAGTTCAAGTTCAATTCCAGATTTTTGCTCTACGGGGTCTTAACTAGAACCCGTCAGAATTACAATCAGTAACCCATTGAAATCCTTATGTGTAATCTACAATAGTCTATGTAATAGTATTTGTTTAGGTAATTCGTTGAACTCTATTAAAAGATCTATTCTCCACGTGTGATTTTATATTTTCAATTATCTATTTTTTTACTTTAAGAAGCTCATTTTTGCGGCACCTGGTCTACATCTCCCTTTGCGGAACCAGTAGACTCAGCCTTTGAGCACTAGTTTTCAGAATGTTTAAGTTTATTTTTACTGCACTTAGTCTACGATTCCCTCTGCGAAAATAATAGACACAATCAATTGAAGAGTAGTCTTTGTTTAACAATTATTTTCACTTTGTTTATAAATGTTATATGTGTTATGTGTTGCTTTAATTCCTTTCTCAATAGTGTATTTTTATCCATTACTTTACTGGCTGATGTACTAGACTGTAGCTTGCACCACTAACTCACAAATAACCCACCATTCCCGGCCTTTGGTGTGTACGCGCTCCCTACCTATAGGGTGGTTGCCTCTCGGTCGGCAGGGGTGGGAATGAGAGGCGTGGGAACGAACGAAAAAAGAATATCAATGGCAAAATTTAAAAGCTCTACATTTAATAGTGAGACCTTACTTTATGGGATCTCCGACAAATACTACGTAGTGTTGCCACCTGAATGGCAGATTTATTTTCCCCTTAATTTTATTCTGGTGAGTATTGTGGCGTTTCCACTGCACTTCATTCGCTCTCTATTCGTTGATTGACCCTTAACTATGAAAAAACTACCTAAATCTTCACACAAAATTTCCTGAGCGAACACTCATATTTGTACATTGTTCAAATCACTCTCAGAACAACGAAAAAATATGGCCCATTCTTAATAAATGAGAGCATTTATCGAAAAAATTAATTATGACATTTAAAAATATAAAAATTTAACTAAATTTTAAAAATTTTTGGGAAGACTAAAAATTATGAATGAAAACTACAATGTTGAATGGCGTATGTACATTCAAACGAAAGTACATTTTGTTTTCTCTTTCATTCGAGGTACTCATTTTGTTTACGAATTGAAATTTCCACAGAAAACTGCAAACAAAAGAGGCAATATTTTCAAAATGTTTATATCGGCAGAAAAAATGTTCGACAAGTGTCTCTCCAGCGCAATTTAAAAATAGAAAAATACGAAATATGTTCAAAATGTCAACATTTACACATAAGTTGAAAACTTGAATGAAAATTGTAAAATTAATGATATAATAAATGTTTAGGAGAAAAACAATAATTTCATCTATTCATATTAGTGAGAATTTCATGTATATTCTTATAAATTCCAATTAAAATCAACAAACAAATTTTTTGAAAAGGGAATTAGGTAACTTTTTATTACGAATCGTACCGTATGAACGGGTTAATTCGTGTACATAACTCAGAGAGCGAACAACGTGATTGAAAGTGTAATGAGAACATAGCATATAATAAGATATCTTATGCGTCAATTGCATTTACAATCTACCCACTGTCCAAGCGAAACGCAAAGGAAGGGAAAATAACAAAAAGATGAAGGAGATTTACAGTTCTATGAATTCATATCACATTACACTACGGATATATTTCTATTTGTTTGTTTGTTTGTTTGTTGGCACAAATATACGAAGAGCGAAAAACAAAATTAACCCTCAATTGAGGTTGAAATTAATTAAGCGTATAATGCCATTACACACACACACACATTCACAGCTAGACATTTTCGACCCAGTCAGTTAGTCAATTTAGCCAAGCATCTGGAAACCAAGGGGTGGCCCTTGGTATGGAAGTTATCTTAGATAGCCCCATTATCAGTTTTGAAATGGCACATCATCAAAATGTCTAAAATTAATTATTTTGTTGCACACTTTTCCTTGCAACCCAATCGAAAGTGGGTGGTTTATGGTGGTTGTCCTTATATCAATTATGACAAAAATTATGAATTTGTCACATGACTGACAAATGACTATCAGCATTAGTAATAAGTAGCAAAATGAATAATGTGTTTGAGAATTACGTGAAAGTATGTTTCAAAATGGACGTTTCAAATGTTTTTTGGAAAATCAAGTTGGAGAATTGAAGTGAAATATTACATTTTTAAGTGTATATTGAGAGATATATTTGAAATAAATAATTTATATCAAGTGGTATAACATGTTTGGAGATTTTAGCCCTTATAAACCCGGACCTCAACAGAAGTATTTCATCTTACCAACCTCTAGCCTCTATATAGAGGTTAGTCCGTTTGTTACTCCTCGAAAAACTCATGTTAGACCCAACAAAGTATGTACATATTCTTAATCAGCGTAAAATTCTAAGTCGATTTAGCGATGTCCATCTGTCTGTCTGTTATAATTACGCTATCTTTCGAACGAGTTGAAATAGAGAGCTAAAATTTTGAGCACGTGTGTATTTTGCCAGGTTAAGTTTGTATAAAGTTCTTGTCGGCCCACGTTTTCGTATAGCCCCCATGTAATGGTACCTCCCAATATTCGGTATTTTAATGATTCTAGAGATATTATTCACCGGAATTCTTTCATATTTCTTATTTAAAAAAAAAATCGTATGCTGGTCCACGTTTTACGTATAGACCCCATTTTTTTAGCGACATCATCTACCGAAATTGTTTCAAATTTCGTATTTGAAGAACTGAATGGGCTCTACAATCTATGACAAAAATTACATATGCAGGCGCTCATCTACGTATAACCCCTATACAGGGTGAGATAAAAAACTTCAACAATGTCAAACAACAAAATTTTTACATTTTTTTTTTTAAATTTTATTGAATGAAAGCAAAAAATGTCGGAAATAGAATCAAATTATTCAACGGATTTTTGTTATATTTCTCATGTGAAGTTCACAATCAGTACTACTTTTGTCTGTGCAGGTCCGCGTCTTTACATAGACCCCATATAACTGTTTTCATTTAAGCGGTTCTTTCGAAGGATTTTTTTGAAATTCCTCAAATTTCCTGGAAATGGTGGGGTGTATTAGAGGTTAATAGCTGATTTTTCACTTGTCTTTATTTTAGTCCACATTTAAATCAAAACCGATTTAAGACAAACTCGGCAAATGTCTAAATGCCACATCGACTGAAACGTATTCGGGGAGTGGTAGGTATTTCTTTATTAAAGACAGTGTCCGAATTTATCCATGCTACAATGTTAATTCTAGAGGGTACATATTATTACGAAACAGTTTTAGACCCTAGGTCATATTGGACAAAATCAGTTTCAGGGCATTTGGAATCAATCACGCCTCTATAAAAACTACTCAAACTTTTAAACATAAACTGATTTGGTAATTTCCATCGTTAACCTGTCATTTTAAAAACATACTGTTTTATATATCTAGTTATGTATACTGAAAACACGTTTCGTAGATCCATAGTTTTTGTTGCTATGACAAAAATAAATTTGAATCACAACAATTTTAGACATATAATTTTCACAATTAAAAAAAAATATATAAATCTTTGTCCTTTATTTTAATATGCATAAAAATATATTTACTGTTACCTTTCGTTTGGGTGCTGAGACCTCCAATACTATGATGATTCCCACTTAGATTTGAAGCAACGCCCACGCCTGTCGCTGTGCCAGGTACACCACTGTCGGCAGTATTTGACGCTGAATTATTACCGCTGTTGGCACCGCCACCAACACCACCATTACTGTGGTGGCTGTGGTTACTTAGGCCCACAGCACCATTACCACCTGTTGTACTCAGATGACCATCATAACCATCCAGACGTTGTTTTATTGTAGGCATAAGTGACGCCTGCTGCACTGAACTCACAGCTCCCGATGCTGCCATGGAGGATGCCGTTATTGCTGATGTCGTGGTTCGTAGTCTGTTGCTGGCACTGTCGTCCTCATGATCCTTTTCCTCATCGGAGACCATGGCATCTTCATCTTCGGTACGATTTTTTGGTTCCCATGTCATTTTGTTCTCCTTCTTGAGACGTCTGCGAGCGTTAGCAAACCAGGTTGAGACCTGTGTCAGAGTCATTTTAGTGATTATTGCCAGCATGATCTTCTCGCCTTTGGTCGGATAAGGATTCTTCATGTGTTCGTTCAGCCACGCTTTCAATGTGGCAGTTGATTCCCGCGTGGCGTTCTTGCGACGTGACGCTAAATCATAACTGGCGCCATAACTGCAGGAGTAGACAATACGACATAGTGGTCCAGGTTCCATGGGATGACAATGCAAATAAATAATAAAAATAAGAAAAGGGAAGAAAGAAGAGATGAGTGAAAAACAAAGCAATGCCCATGTTAAGGTTTGTTAACAATCCTGCAACAATGTGCAATCTTCTGCTCTAGCCACAAGAAACGCTTGATTCAGATTTGGATTGGTATTGTTGCAAGCCATTAACACACAAGTAGGTGGATGAAAGTCGATTGACTTCAGCACAGTGTTGAAGTGTTAAATTTTGCTTTTAATACTATTGGTTAATAATATTGATTATTTTTATTAAAATTTTATATCATATAAGAGAGGACTCTAAAAATGTTTGTATTGGGGATTACGGAGCATTTATTTAACAGTGAGGATAAATTGTATTGAATTTGTTAAATGGAAGGACAAATGCCAGGCATTCGATTGTAACATTTTGGAACCTTGATCAAAATAGAACGAAAATGAAAGAAATTAAATATTAAACCAATTTTGTCAAATTTTGTCCGATTTTTGTTCCTATTTGAAATCTTGCCCTTTGGAAGACATGGAATTATAACTTTAATATATTCCTGGATATCACGATTCCATGTAAAATCAGTAGAACCCTTATAGATGAAAATTTATTCCAAATTAGGAAATTTCAGATCAAATCATGCCATATACGTATATTTTCTCTTAAAATTAACACTTCATACCTTAGAGAATATGTAGTGTCTTGTCAATAAACAGAAAAAGCGAAATGGCCAAAAATGCGATACTCTGCATCATATACTTTGAGATAAAGTTAAACCAGTAAGGAAAGCTCAAAAGTCGGGCGGGGCCGACTATATGATACCCTACACCACTATGCATATTTAGTAGAGATTTCGTAAAAAGGTTTATACAGGGCATTTCAGAGCTCTATGAGATATTTGGTACAAAATCAAAATCTATCTAATTCTATCGTGCATTTTACGAACTATAGCTATCTCTGCACCGGGTTTCTCCAAATTTGACGTATTAGCTTCTAGACTGAGTTCGGTCTTATGTACGAAAATTCAGGTGATTTGGGCTGATATTGACCATTTAGTGCACAATTAACCTGAAATCGTTAGAATAATGTGAAGAGTATGCTATGCTATGCTATATCCAAATCGGAACAGATTTTGATAAAATTAAAATCGACTATTTTTGGGCTTTATCTGATATCTGGTACCAAATATCATTCCTGTGAAGAATATATTGCGAATGTAAGGGACTTAAAGAGCAAATCGGATGAAACATATATATGGGAGCTAGAGCTATATCTGAACCGATTTTTACTAAAACTGGTGTACTTGCTTATAGGCTGGTTTCGGCTGAATTTGGCAAAATTTATGCCATTTGGGCTGATATTGACCATTTCATGCACAATTAACACGAAATCGGATGAAGATATATATGGGAGGCATATCCAAATCAGAACAGATTTTAATAAAATTAAAATCAACTATTTTTGGGCTTTATCTGGTATCTGGTACCAAATATCATTCCGGTGGAGTGCATATTACGAATGTGAGGGACTTAAAGACCAAATCGGATGAAAGATATATATGGGAGCTATAGCTATATCTGAACCGATTTTTACTAAAATTGGTGTACTTGCTTCTAAGCTGTTTTCGGTCGGATTTGCCAAAATTGATGCTATTACGGCCATTTGGTGGTCAATCACCCGAAATCGGATGAAGATATATATGGGAGCTATATCCAAATCTGAACCGATTGCGATAAAATTACAAACAGCTATTTCTGGGCTGTATCTTATATCTGGTACCAAATATCATTCTTGTGGAGTGCATATTACGAATGTGAGAGGCTTAAACACCAAATCGGATAAAACATATATATGGGAGCTATAGCTGTTTCTGAACCGATTTTCTCCAAATTTGTTGTATTTGCTTTAAGGCTAATCTCGGTCACATGTGCCAAAATTCGGGCCATTTGGGCTAATATTGGCCATTTGGTGGTCAATTAACCCGAAATCGGATGAAGATATATATGGAAGCTATATCCAAATCTGAACCGATTTCGATAAAATTTAAAACAGCTATTTCTGTGCTCCATCTAATACCTGGTACCAAATATCACGGTTGTGGAGTGCATAGTAGGAATGTAAGGGACTTAAAGATCAAATCGGATGAAAGATATATATGGGAGCTATAGCTGTATCTGAACCGATTTTCTCCAAATTTGATGTACTTGCTTCTAGGCCAAACTCGGTTGGGTTTGCCAAAATTCAGGTCATTTGGACTGATAGTGGACATTTGGTGCACATTTAACCCGAAATCGGATGAAGATATATATGGGAGCTATATCTAAATTTGATCCGATTCTCACCAATTTCAATAGGGTTCGTCCTTGGGCCAAAAAATATTGTTTGGAAAATTTCATCTCAATCGGATAATAAATGCGACCTGCATTTTGTTCACAAGAATACATGGACAGACGGACGGACGGACGGACAGACGGACTGACATGCATAAATCGACTCAGAAAGTGATTCTATGAAGGTTCTCAAAAGTAACTATGGGTCTATCTCGTTTCCTTCTCCATGTTACAAACAAATGCACAAAGACATAATACCCTTACCACTATGTGGTGTAGGGTATAAAAAGAACGTTTATATTGGGATTTTATTGAAACAGATACTACCAATCTTGAAACTTTTTTGAATGAGTATTATAGCTTTAGAATAGTTATAATTAGGAATCAGGGGAAAATAATACATGGCATATATATATCCAACTCTGAAGCTTGAAGGAGGTATTTGTACCTTTCGTAGCAAATAACATTGCTATAGAGTGTATAATGTGACTTATACCGGGTGAGATAAAAAACCAGTAAAGAAAGTCCTAAAGCCGGGCGGGGCCGATTTTATGATACCCTACACCACTTTTCTAATTTAGTTGAGCTCCACTTAATAATTAAAAGTTTTTATGGGAGAATTCAATCATACACGCTATGATTATAATTATAATTTAAAATTCAAAGGACTAACTATGCCGAAGCATTTGTATCTTTTAAATTCGGACTTGTATTGCCCATTTGGTGCGAAATTAATTTGAAATCAGATAAAAATAAATATGGGAACTATATCCAAATCTGAACCGATCTCGATAAAATTTGACAAAGATATTTCTGAGCTGTATTTGATATATTTCCCTGAATATCGATGTTACGGAGTGCATATTACGGATGTGGGTAACAAATACAATAAATCGGATGAACAATATATATGGGAGCTATAACTATATCTGAACCGATCTTCAAAATTTGGCATACTACCTTCTAGACTAAATTCGGTTGCATGTGCCAAATTCCATCCCATTGGGACAAATATTAGACGTTTGGTGCACAATAAATGGTAAATCGGACGAAGTTGTATATGGGAGCTATATCCAAATCTGAACCGATCTCGATAAAATTTAGCAAAGGTATTTCTGAGCTGCATTTGATATATTTCCCCAAATATTGTTGTTACAAAGTACATATTACGGCTGCGGAGGACAAAAATAACAAATCGCATGAACAATATATATGGGAGCTATAGCTATATCTGAACCGATTTGGCATACTTATTTTCAGGCCTAATTTGGTTGTATGTGCAAAATTCCATACTATTCGGGCTGATATTACGCGTTTGTTGCACAATAAAAGGCAAATCGGACGAAGATATATATGGGAGCTATATCTAAATTTTTACCGATTATCTCCAATTTCAATAGGGTTCGTCCTTGGGCCAAACAAATGTTGTTTTCAAAATTTCATCTCAATCGGATAATAAATGCAACCTGCATTTTGTTCACAAGAATACATGGACAGACGGACGGACGGACAGACGGACTGACATGCATAAATCAACTCAGAAAGTGATTCTATGCAGATCATCAAAAGGAACTATGGGTTTATCTCGTTTCCTTTTGCCTGTTACAAACAAATGCACAAAGACATAATACCCTGACCACCTTGTGGTGTAGGGTATAAAAAGCGCAACAAAGTCAAACGCCAGAATTTTGACACATTTTTTAAATTTTTTTTAAGTCGGAAATAGCTTCAAATTTTGGAATAAGTTTAGATTTGTTCGAATTGGTCACCTTTGGAACAAATTATGGTCTTCAAACGGCCAATGAAACCGTCACACGCTGCCCGAATGATGCTTGCTTGAGGTGACCGACACTTTTGTATTTTTTAGTGTCAACCTTGATTTCCAAAATACTCCAGACATAATCCAACGAATTGGTATTCGGAGATTTTGATGGCCATTGTGCGCTGGAAATGAAGCGAGAAATCTCATTTTGTAACCCTTCTTGGGTTGGCGCGGGCTGAGTGCATTGGTGCTGATTCCTGTTGGAATGTCTAAGGTCTGCGGCCAAAATGTTTGCGTGCCCAAGGCCTTAATACACCCTCCAGAGTATTTTTGCAATAATATTCGGCATTTATTCTGATGCCACCGTCGATTAATACGAGCTGAGAGCGACCATCGGCTGTGACGGCGGCCCACATCATCATCATGGCCGGCGCTTGAGTTCCGGTGGCCAACCGAAGGTGCACATTTTCATCTGACTATTTTGACAAGTAAACACGATAATTTTGTTTGTTTACAAACTGCTGGACAACGAATGTTTTCTCATCGGAGAAAACCAAATTCGCCAGCTCATCACTTTCGGCCAAGCGAAGCAACTCTTTAGCTCTTTTGAGTCTATTTTCTTTCCGTTGCTGTGTAAGTTCTTACACTTTTTGGAATTTCAATTGCTCATTTTTCAATGTTTGCCGAATGGAATATTGCGATACGTTTAGCTTACGAGCCATTTTTCGGCCACTGCGACGCAGGTTTCGATCAAGTCGCTTCTTTACTTTTCAAACCTTTTCTGCTGATGTTGCTGTTTTCTTCCGTCCAATTCCTTGACGTCGGGCTACACTACCAGTATCACGGTAACGAGCGATGGTACGAGACAC